TGGACATGGCACTGCTTGGCACGCCATGCTGTGGTAGGTGTCCCACATATAAAGCAGAGGAAGATGGGCATGGATATTAGCTCAGGGCCAGTCTTCCTCAGCAAAAAGAGGAGGATTGGCAGCAGTTAGCTCAGGGCTAATCTTCCTCAAAAAATTAATTAATTAATTAATTAAAATAAAAATGAATGGAAATTATGCTTTCCCTAGGAGACACCTGCCTGCCTCATATCAGTCAACTCTTTGACCCCAGTGCCTTCTCCTACTGATGAGGATCAAGGCTGCCCCAGGGAGAGAAACCCAAGGTGACCTGCCCTACATACCGATCTATATCATCCTCCGGGAAGCACAGGACGTCCTGACCTGATCCCACCTGATTCCTATCCAAAGTTCCAGGACCACCCAATAACCAGACCCCACCTGCACTGATACCATTTTAACAATTTTTTTCATGATCTTTCCTTCGTCTTGTAAAGAAATAACTCACATACCTATGCCTTATAAATTTAGCCCTACCCTCAACCCATTGCAGCTCTTTACTGCCCACGGGCCCTGTCCCCATGCTACTTCATGCTATTCTCTGAATAAAGGAGCCCTACTGCCAGACCTCGAGAGTCCAAGAAGTCTTTCTTTGAACTCCTCGGCTTGCCGAGCCTTCATCACTACTACTCTCCTCCAGCTTTCCACCACAACCTTCTGCCTGCGTCTCTGACTGTGACCACCACAATTACTCCTTCCCCTTGGTTACATGCAACACCACTCATCTTTACACATACTTGACTAACTTATCATTTCATCCCTTCCAACAACATACCTGCCAGACCTTCCCCCTTGACCTGGGCATATTTCTAACACACTTTTCAACTCTACTAAGATATTGTTAAAGACTCCCAAAATTTCAGATCTATTTTTCTTCACTAATGCCATATAAATGGGAAAATTGGTTACGGGTCAGTCGGCAGAGACTCCTTGTACTTCTACTTGTGTTGCCCTGTTCTTCTCTTATAACGAAATCTTTTCTATCCTCTTTAGGGCAACTTATGCCCTACTCTCTAAACATCTCCACTCTCATTACCCCTAACTTTCCTTAGTATGATGCCAAAACACCAGAGGACAAATTGTATTGTAAATATTTTTTAATTTCTGAATATTACGAGGTTTTGACATGCTAAAAAACCATTCTGTCTGGGAGAGACTGCCTTTCCAAGGGCTAGCCAACTCTTAGAGATAGCAAAGAGCCCAGCCAGGAGCATGTCTTTGATACACAAACTAACCAATCCAGAGCCATACCTCCTCCATCTGGCCCATACACCCTGAGAGACAATATTTCTCTGCCTTAACCATCCCAGGGCCAGGTGCTAAGCAACTGGAGACCAACCTTATTGCCCCAAACCTGTCAAAATTATTCAAACTAGCCAATCCTAAACTGTTCACGCTTCCCTGCCTTGCTTTTTCCATGAAAACCCGTATAAAGGCAGTGGCCTAAACCTTCCCCTCACTCCTGTCTTCTGCCTCCTGACCACCCTGGTGGCTTTGCCATGTAGCCCTACCAGGAGTGCCATGCTTCTTGTCTCTTGGATCAGTGAGTATAATACTTTGGTTTTTTTCCCCCGTGCCTCTCTTGTTTTCTCTTATGACCACATCTGACTAACCATCTCATTAAAAAATACAAAATACAACCCATACCATCAGCTGGAACATCTTTGAACTGTGGGCTGCACTTAGCTAAGGGAGTGGCAGGAGCATCCACTACAGGCTGTTCATCCCCCTCTGGCAAGGCAACTACTTCATAGAGTCAGTTGATCCCCTGGAATCCCACTCAGGCTTGATCTTGGATGTAACATTTCCATTTAATGATGGCACTTTGCTGAGCCTGTCCTATTTTATTAGTAGGATCAATGAGAATCCACGTGAGGATGGGTAGCTCAGGTCATAAGGTCACATGCAGCACTTCGGTGATTAAGAGCTATTTCCAATAGAGCCCAATAGCAGGCTAGGAGTTGACAATTTGAAGTTGGGTTTATCTGGCAGCTGTCTTGCGTAATTTACATCTCCAAAACCCGAGGGGTCTGTGCACCCCAGTAGCAGTCTCTTGTTGCCACAGGCTCTAATCCTCATGGGTAAGTAGCAAAGACGTGTAGCTCCAAAGAGCTGGCAAGCTCCATTGGTCCCAATGACAAGACCCATGCCAATTCATGTTGCATGGCATCTACAGTCTGCTCTTTTGGGGACCCCATACAGAGATGGCCACCTTGCAGGTAAACCTTGACTAAACAGACCAAAAAAATACCCATATTTGGTACATGTTATCTCCAATAGCCAAACAGGACTACCAGCTATGGAACTTCTTTCCTGTTGGTGGCAGCTTCCAATGACAGCAATTTTTGTTTGACTTTATCAGAAATACTCCTCTGATTACCAGCCCAGATGGCTCCCAGGAAATGTACTTTTGAGCAGGTCCCTGGATCTCACCAGGGTTGAGGACCCATCCTCTTTGTCATAATATCTACAACTTTATGTAGGGACTGGTCAATTTGTGTTTTAGTCAGGCTGGCAATGAGGATGTCATCAATACAGTGGATGACAAGTACTTTTGAGGGTAATTGGGCTTGTGGCAGATGTAGTCCTACCACTGGTGCCATATTACAAGAGAATTGAGGTACTGGTATGGACTAAATTGTGTTGTCCTACCCCTGTTAATATGTTGAAGTTCTAACCTCCAATATGACTGCATCTAGAATCCTAAAATGAGAAATGAAGAAAGGCTGCAAAAGTGTGCTGTTCTTCAAGACAATGGAAGAATAACCCCGAAGATGATTCAGAGATCAGGGTTGAACCATTGCCTTGGTTTCAGACAGACCAGACAGTTTCCAACAAAAGCCACCTAGAGCCTTGGGGTCAAGACTGAGGCCGCAGTGGATCCAGAAGGTGGGACCATCACCCCAGTGGTCCTGGAGGGCAGAGCACCAAATCAAAAAGAATTATCCTTGAGCCTGAGATCTCATGGAATTTGCCTTGCTAAGTTTTGGATTTGCTCAGGACCTATCACCCTTTCTTCCTTCCAATTTCTTCTTTTTGGAATTGGAATGTGTGGGATAACAGAAAATATATACAGTTGTCCCTCAGTATTTGCAGGGGATTGGTTCCAGGGTGCCCATGGATACCAAAATCTGTGGATGCTCAAGTCCCTTAGTCAGCCCTCTGTATCTGTGGGTTCACACCCCTGAATTCAACCAACTGTATAAACATGATCCATGGTTGGCTGAACCCGCAGATGAGGAATCCGTGGATATGGAGGGCTGACTGTATTGGTCTCTGTCCCTAGTTCCTGGCACAGAGCTCTTGAAACTCTTGTAATTTCCTAAGTGATAAGAGCACTCAGAGCATCTCTTGTTCTAATATTTGGTCTTTGGCCCTGGTTCTTGACGCAGGGCTCTTGAAACCCTTATAATTCCCTGGGTGATAGGAGTGCCTTTTGTCCTATTGAGGTGAGTCTAGGTGGGCTCCTGGATGAGGGCTGGTCACTGGAAAGATCAAGCCATGATTAGAAGCTTGGAATTTTCAGCCCACCCCCCATTCTCTTGATAACGGAGAAGGGCTTGGAAAGGAGTTAATGATTAATCATGCCTACATGATGAAGCCTCCATAAAAGAACCAAAAGTACAGGATTCAGAGAGCTTCCAGGCAGGTGAACACATCCTTGTAACTGGAGGGTGATGCTCCTCAACCCCATGGGTATAGAAGTTCCTATGCTTGGGACTCTCACAGACCTTGCCCTACATATCTAATCTGGCTGTTCATCTGTATCCTTTAAATGATAACCGACAAACATATGTGAATTGTTTTCCTGAGTTCTGTGAGCCACTCTAGCAACTTAATCAAACCCCAGGAGGGTGTTGTTGGAACCTTGGATCTACAGCTGGTTGGTCACCTGCACCTGCAATTGGTGTCTGAAGTAGGAGGCCCACTGAGCCCTTAACTGTGGGATCTGATGCTAGCTCCAGGTAGATAGTGTCAGAATTGAGTTGAATTGTAGGACCCCCAGCTGGTGTTGTAGAGAATTGCTTGGTGTGTGTGTAGGGGGGGAATCCCATACATTTAGTGACCAGAAGTGGTGTTCTGTGACTAGTAAGAGACACACAGGAGGGAAGAACTGTAGGTCTTTTCAACACCCGATGTCTATCCTATAAATGTTCCATCATTATATTTTGGAAGCATACACTTGTCTGGTTTCAGGCTCACAGCCGGAGAATTTTGCCTCTAGATGAATCATAGCTCAAGTCTCACCCGTATCTGACCTAGATGATATTTAGATGACACTTTGGACTTCCAGACTTTCAAGTTAATGCTGAACCAGAGGTAAGACTTTTGGGCTACTGGAATGAAATCAATGAAATTAATGTATTTTGCATGTGAGGACATGAATTTGGGGGAGCCAGAGGCAGAACTGATGGACCAAATGTTTGTCTCCTCAAAATCCATGTCAAAGCTCTAATCCCTAGTGGGAAGGTATGTAGAGGCAGGGCCCTTGGGAAGTAACTAGGGTTAGATCAGCTTACGTGGGTAGGGCACCCACGATGGGATTAACGCCCTTATTAGAAGAGAAACAGACAGACAGCTTCTCTCTTTCTTCATGATATGAGAATATAGCAAGAAGGCAGCTGTCTGCAAGCCAGGAAGCAGGTCCTTACCAGAACCTGGTCATGCCGGCAACTTGATCTTGGACTTCCCAGCCTCCAAAACCGTGAGGAATAAATATCTGTTGTTAAAGTCCCCGAGTCTATGGTGTTTTGTGATAGTAGCCCCAAACTAAGACAGCTGCTACAGATATGTCCCTCCCAGTCCCCTCCCTCCCAAAAAAGGATCAGGCCTAGATATATTTAGCCTTCAAAGAATAATTCTCACATTATGCAAACTTTTCCAGAGTAATAAAACAGAAAGAAAAGTTCCAAATTCATTTTGCAAAGCAAATTGAATCTAGTTCTGTAAGCAGAAAAAAGAAATCACCATGAACAAATGGACTTTATTCCAGGAATGTCAAGAAATTTCAATTATTTGAAAACTTGTCAATAAAATGAATTACAAAAAAAAAAAAATACAGAATATGACCTGTAAATTACACCAACAGACTTTTAAAAAATTAGATAGAACTTAGCATCCATTTCTAATAGAAACTCTAAGTATAATAATAATTGCTATAATGTGTACTATGCATCAAGCACTATTTTAAGTGCCTTACACTTATATTAACTAATTTTATCCTCACAGCCCTATGAGGTAGAACCATTTCACAGATGGAAGAACTGAGACACAAGCTCAGTGACTGCCCAGCATCACACACCTAAGAAGGTGGTGGAGTGAGGATTTGAACTTAGAGTGCTAGGCACAAAATCTGTGCACTTAACCACTTAGATACCATACTGCTTCTTCTAAAAATAGAGATAAAAGGAAACTTCTAAACACAATAGAATATTTATCAGAAACTAAGAATGAGGTGAACATCATAAAAAAACTGTGAAGTGCTAAAAACTTTAGGAACAAGACATGGAATGCCTGTTATCTGCTATTTTCTTTTTATATTCTTGCTAATGCATGACATAAGTGACATACAAATTAGAAATTAAGAGAATACTAATTATTTTTGTATACCTACAAAAGTTAGGAAATGAAAACTAAAAATAATTTAGCAAGGTAATTGGATCCAGATAAAGTTTTTAAAAACCAATAATTATTTCCAATACTAGCAATAGAAATTGAGGTGTGGCTTTCCAATGTAGCCCTTTATCCTCCATCCAAGAGCCTGAGTGCTTTTCCAGGAAGTGAAGACGTTCATTTCTACTGAGCACCCACCAGACAGCTGGTGGTGTGTAACAGTCATGAATAGCACTGGATCACCCACTCCAGAGACTTAGTGTGGCAGGGGATGAGCAGACAAGAACCCGAAGATAAAACTATAGCATCCAACAGGCAGGGGGTTCTACTGATGACATGAGCAGTAATGTCCAATCAGGGTGGAGGGATGGACGCAGGTGCTCATAATGGGGGCTGGGTTCTTCCCTGGGATCTGAGAACTCCCAAAGTAAAACACTTAAAAAAGGAAGTCCTATCTGCATATTTTGTAAAGGAAAATGGAAATAAACACCAAAAACATAGCTGTAACAGAAATGTAATTGAAAACACATTCACAAATGACAAATTTCCAGTCCCCTGTCCTTGGTTCAGAAATTTTTTAGGCCCCCAAAAAACATTCTAACAATGTCTGAGAGGCCTCTCCCAGAATCACATCTAATTCTTATTTTCTTCAGCCTGGACTCTCTTTCCTTTCTTCTCCATTGCCTCTAAGACACAAATCACAGCTCACAAAAATCTCTCCCCTCCAGGTTACACACCTGACATCGCCCCCACCTCCTCCTCCACCTGTGCCACACTGCCGCTCCTCATATTGCTAAGAGGAAGGAGGTTGACACCAGAGGCAGAGGTGCCCCAGCAGTGGGGCCCTACTGCAAGGGAGAAAATAAAGAGTTGTTGAAGCTTATGTCCAATATGTGACTGTTAAGGAGTGGAAATCCTCTGAAAAGATTTCCTGTTTCTTCTGCCTTTGATGAATGAAAGATGGCCCAAAAGGTAATTACAAAAATTAAGGGTACACCTCTAACCTAGAAATTGGTAAGGAAATAAGATTAATTTGACTCTACTATCTTGCCACAAACCTCATCGCTGTGAATTCCAACCATCCAAGAATGCTTCTAACTGGAACTTTCAATCATCTTTGCCACAGCCACGAAAGTCAAATCTTCACAGTAAATTTTGATGCTGTTCTTAACTTGTTTACTTAGGCATAGGGTGGACTCGGCTAGTTCAGAACTAGAATCAGTGTGCAGGGCAAAGTACCTATCAGTGGAACATGACTGCCAACTCCAATACCTGGGTACATACATACATACATACATACACACACACACACACACACACGCACTCAAACACAAACCCATTAGCTCTCTGAGGCAGAAGTAACAGCAGTAAGACTCCAGGGATACACGTAGATGATATGAATGAGGCCTTTGTATGTGATATCCGATGATATCCATCGTTAGAAATTTTAGGTTGGGTGGTGGGAGGGGAGTTCATCCTCACTTGAAGAATGGTTGCGTTGGAGAAGTGAGTTTTAAAAACTTCTTCAACAACTAGTAGATGCAGAGAATTATCTATATGCCAAAAGAAACAGATACAATACCCAACCACAAAGAGCCTACATTAAATTGGTATGAAAGTATACACATATGCATTAAGTTGAGAATAATTTACAAGGCAATTTAGTAACTGCAAATTGTAGCACAGGCTAATTTGAAGCACTGAGGTCATATCAACAGAAGTTTAGGAGGAAGGAAGAAGCATCTGAAGAAAAATGTCTTTGAGAGATGAACTGGATCTTACAGGTTCTGAGGGACACAGATTAGCAAACAGGAAGAAGAAACGGTTTCTAGGTAGGGAACAAGTGATGAGGGTCTAGATTGGAACAGAAGTTTCAAAAAGGCCAGACCCAAGAGTCAGAAAAGGAATCCGTTTCAGATAACGACTTTATGTAACTGGGGAAACGGATTAACTGGAATAGAAAAAGGAAGATATAATCTCTGTCCTTGAGAAGCACACAGTCTGATTATGGGATGAATAACTAAGAAATGACACAGAATTCAAACTTTTAAAAAAGAGATATAAAGAAAGAAGGAAATCTACAAGTACATGAAATGCGTGGTCCTCACTTCCCCATTACTGAGGAAGGAGTGCACTGTTACTGCCACTCTCCTACCTTTATGACCCAGCAGGAAGCATTTAGGGAATGCCCCACTTCAATTAGTGGTTCTAAGAGGACACCAGGGTGAGTAGCCTTCTTATAAAGAAAGCTTAACTCAAAGTTCCTTGCTGTCTTGGAGATTTATGCTTTAAGAAACTGACCGAGCCCCACCTGCCTGCTTCTCTCCAGTGTGAGTTCGCTGGTGGTGATTGAAAGTGGAACGCTGACTGAAGGCTTTTCCACACTCAATACATTCATAGGGTTTCTCTCCAGTGTGAACTCTCTGGTGCACAGTAAGCTGTGAGCTGTCACTGAAGGCTTTCCCACACTCACTGCATTTATATGGTTTCTCCCCAGTATGGGTTCTCTGATGTACCATAAGGCTGGAATTATGGCTGAAGACCTTCCCACACTCAGTACATTCATAAGGTTTCTCACCAGTGTGAATTCTCTGGTGTATAATGAGGTATGAGTTTTGATTGAAGGATTTTCCACATTCATTGCATTTATAGGGCTTTTCACCTGTGTGAAGTCTCTGATGTCGAATAAGACACTTACTCAGACTGAATGCTTTCCCACACTCATTACATTCAAAAGGTTTTTCTCCAGTATGCATTCGCTCATGGTCAGCAAGCTGAGAGATTTGACTGAAAGCTTTCCCACAGTCACTACATTTGTATGGTTTTTCCCCAGTGTGGAGGCTCTGATGTCGAATAAGACATTTACTCCGACTGAAGGCCTTGCCACATTGATTACACTCATAAGGCTTCTCCCCACTGTGGATTCTCTGATGATCAATGAGATTTCTATTAGAACAGAAAGCTTTCCCACACTCATTACACTTGTAGGGTTTCTTACCAGTGTGAAGTACCTGGTGTCGGATAAGATTTTTACTCCGACTGAAGGCTGCTCCACACTCATGGCATTCATATGGTTTCTCCCCAGTGTGGGTTCTTTGGTGGTCAAACAGTTTGGAGCTCTCATTGAAGGCTTTTTCACATTCATTACATTTATAAGGTTTCTCCCCATTATGGAGTCTCTGGTGTTGAATGAGATGGGAGCTGTGTCGATAGGTCTTTCCACACACGCTGCACTCATAGGGCTTTTCCCCCGTGTGGGTTCTGAGATGAACTATGAGCTGAGAGGTCTGCCTGAATGTCTTTCCACACTCGTTACACTCATAGGGTTTCTCTCCAGTGTGGATTCTCTGATGCCCAATGAGGTGTGAACTCCAATTAAAAGTTTTGCCACATTCACCACATCGATAGAATTTCTGTCCTTTCAGGACTCCTTGATGTTCTGCAGGATGGGAAGACAGATTTGGATGTTCCCCAAGTTCCTTATATATATCACACCCATCTTCAGTAGATTTATTTTTATTCTCATATGTTATTTCCAGGAAATCACTTTCGAGTTGGCTCCCTTCCTCATCTGAGGGTTGCCCTTCTAGCTTCTCTAAAGCATCTTCACAGGCATCTCCAGCTTCTGGTCCTCCAGGAACCACCCCACAGAGTCCTCCTGATAATCTATCAGATGACTCCAACCCTTTAGAAATTTCCTGCTTTGCAGGCAACTCTGAACTCTCCATTCTGTTCTCACCTGCTGCCAAAAGAAAGAAGAAAACAACTTTTACTCATTTCTTGTCCTACTGAGAAAAAGAATTATCAGTAGTCTATGGAAACTCAATAGTTGAATATTTACTTTTCAGTTCTGGAATTTTTAAATACAAAAGCTTGAAAAAGAGAGCAATCATGGTCATAGCTGAACACAAAATGTTGGTTGCTTTCAATCACATCTTAATCAGGGCTACAAACATCATTCTACTACTTCAGTACGTTCAAGTTGTGGATGTGTGGGTCCCTGACTCCTAAGCCCACCCTCTCCAGAATACGCTACTGTCCTGGACCTGTCAATCACAGAAACTGCCCTGACAACAGGCCCCTTCCAGGAAGCTGCCCTGCTCGTCTTTCCTGAAGGGGAAGCTGAAGCAACCACACTTTATGCCAAGCAACCCAGCTCATCCCATGATGGATGACAGGTGACTGGACAGGGCCAAGCACTAGACCGAACTGTAGCTTTCCTGTAGATTAGTCATCAGCCTCTGCTGTGGCCTGGGCCAAAGTTCTGCCCAAACAGAGATGAGATTTAATGGTTGACCCACCCTTGGAGTCCCTCTCGAAGTAAATTCTGAACTGGAAGTAGGGCAAAATGAAGGAAATTACAAGTAGGAGCTCAAGCTGAAATGATGTATGAAGAGAAGCTAAACTACTGGGAGCCACAGCAAGCAGAAAGTATGAGGGAACAGAGAACATAATTAAGAAGGAGCTGTGAGGGGCAAAAGATTCAGAGTGAAGAGAATGGGGAGCAGTGGGAGAAGAAGACAGATATGCAGGGAGCAGCTGCGTCACATTCCCGGTGCAACACTAGCCTAAATGTCATCAGCTGTTGCTGCTGAGGCTGCTGAGCTGCCCTGGGTCAAGGCTCAGTCTCCACAAGGCCCTGTTTCTGGGCCAGGCGGTCAGGGTTCCATTTGTTCAGGGTTTCCATTTCTTTAGCCTTATTATAAGTAACACAGCTCATTAACTACAATAACCTGAGTAGCTCTCTATTCCTTACAACTACAAACTAACTAAACCACCCTGGGTCAATTAATAATGAAGAAAGAGAATGCTGATAACTGTTAAAGCTGGGTGATGGTGCAGAAAGATTCAGGATACTGTTCTCTCTACTTTGTCTGTTTGCCATTTTTCACAATAAAAGTTAACAAAGAAAAAGAATACAGCAAAGAAAATGCAAAGACTGCAGACTCTAAGTTACCGGGGAGCAGAAGCATTACCCAGGGAGGCCGCGCTGCAGTGATTTTCCGGCATGACGTTCTGGTACAGGGCTCTCTGACTGACTGCTGGACCTCTCCACTTCTTCTGAGTATAGTCCACGCACAGGAACTCGTACGCTGCAGACCCCTGGAACGACAAGCTTCTATCGCTCAGGATATTCCCAGCCTGAAGGCTACTGAGAGCACCGGGTGAGGGTCCTGGTGGGGAAAGTGGGGGCAGAGGGACAGAGGCTGGGATGACGCATCTAAAAGGACAAGACCAGGGCAAGACAGAGTCCATGAACTCAGCAGGCGGGACCAGCTCCAGGGGAAGCAATCAGGCAGGGAAGCCACAGGAACATCTCAGAATGGCCCAGAGCCCGGGGCTGAGCTCTAGCTATCCGGGGCCACAGACCGGGGAACTCAGGAAAGACGGAAAGGACTAAGCTCACCTGGGGCCCGACCATCTGAAGCACACTTGCTGCTGCTTGGTCTCCTAAGTTCCCTGCTTGGGGAAGGGCAGGCACTGGGGAAGCCTGTTGAGCTGAGGGAGGAAAGAAAGCTATGAGTGGGACAAGCCATGCCCTTGGCTCCAGCAAGGTCTGTATCCCACCCAGTGGACTCAAGAGAGCCCAGGCAACTCCACACACAGAGTCTCATGCCCTTTCCAGAAAGGCTTTATCCTACGTGTGCTGTGCATTTTCCAGGAGGGGTATGGTAGAAGGACTCGGGTCACACTGAGGACTGGCCCCCTCAGTCCTCACTGTCTTGAACCTCTCTGAAGGAAGCCATACTTCTGACGACATTCTCTCCCATGGCTTCCCTAGCACAAGCCTAGCCTGATTTACCCCACATCTCTGGGCCCTCTTTCCCTGGTTTTTCTTCCTTCCTCTGCCCTCTCATTATGGACATTCCAGGTGCTCAGGCCTCAGAGCTTCCCTTCTCTGTCAGAGGTCTCATCGACTCTCATTGCTCTGCTCTCTTCCGCACTTCCATCACAAGCTTCCAGTCATCTGCTGGACACTTCACCTGGTGTTGCACATAACCATAAATTCAGTGTCAAAAATACATGTTCGGACTGTCTTCCTTTTCTTTGTCCCCAAGTTCTGTCAATGATTCCAGACATCCATCAAAACCTCTTATTCCCTCTCTCCTTTCTTGAAACTCACATCTAACAGATATTCGCCAAATTGATCTTCAGATTCAACACAATCCCTATCAGAAGCCCAGCTAGCTTCTTTGTAAAAATTGACAAACTGATAATAAAATTCATATGGAAACTCAAGATTTCCAGCACAGCCAAATGAAATTTGAAAAATAAAAATAAGAAGGAAGACTTACAATTCCCAATTTCTAAACTTACTTTACAAAGCAGCAATCTCCAAGACAATGTGGTGCTGGCATAACGATAGACATAAATCAATGACACAGACTAAGAGTCCAGAACCAAACCCCATACATCTCTAGTCAACTTACTTTTGATGAAGGTCCCAAGACCACTCAAAGGGGAAAGAATAGACTTTTCAACAACTGGTGCTGGGACAACCAGATGTACAAAAGAATGAAGTTGGACCCCTACCTTAGACCATATGTGAAAATATTATGGACAGCAGGTCTTAGTACTTTTTGCAAAGTGGCCCATGACTCCACACACCGAGTCACAGACGATGGTCGTCTTCCCCTGAAACCGAGGCACCCTCCAACTCCCACCATGTAAGCAAATTTAAAGAAATCACTACCTTCACCCAGAAGCCATCATCTCCTACATTCGCTACAAACATCCGGACTCAGCAAGTGCTGCTAGGACTGACAAAAACGAGAGGACCGTACACTGAGACGGGAAGAAGGAAGCACGCCATCACCCAGCTAAAAGGGAGAAACTACAGCCCTGCTCCAAGGCACGGAGAGTCAAGCGAAGAACTACATTAGGGATCACGCATGTGAGCAGGCTGCCCTAGTTCGGGCAGACAAAGGAAGCCATGCTGTGAAAACAGGGGGACAGGTAAGAAGAAACATTCAGAGAAAACAAAAGCAAAGGAAAACGAGAGAAGTGATAAAGCAAATCACTGAAGGCCTATGAAAAGAGACTTAGAGACACAACGACAAAAGACACCTGAAGAGGAAAGGGTGCTTCAGGAGCAGGAGGGGCAGGCTCCAGCCCTGCTGAGCTCCAGCAGCTCAAACCGGAAGAAGGAAACTGCTCAGGACGAAGCAGAAAGTCAGCGAGGGAGACAGCCTTTCACAGACAAACCCGCAGAATGGATGGGAGACAGAAGGAAAACTGAAGTATGAAAAGAACTGGAAAACTGCTCAGGGTGAGGAGAAATCTGGCAGGGAGCCTAAAGAGAATGAACTGGAGGCCAGGGAGAAATATTTCAAAGAAATGCACCCAGTGGGGAAGATAAACAGCATCGACCTATCTCAGGAAATTGAGACCCACAGTGAAATGAGCACCAGAAAGAAGCCTCCAAGCTGGCCTGTTCTGAAGCAGCTGCTGCAGAAACATCCAGGGGCCACTGAGCCATTTGTAAAGAGGTGGTGAGAAGACCGACAGGCAGGAAAACGAGGGCGACAGCCTGTGAGCACGCCCATAGACGCCAGGCCTTCCATCAAAGAAAGGGTGAGCCCAGCCTCTGCGACCATGAACATGGACAAAGCTGAAGACCTCCTGGGCCTTCAGGCTCTGAGTGAAAGACCCAGAGCAAGGGAAAGTGATGGGGGCCAGAGAGCTGAAAGCGCCCCACTACATCAGGTATCCAGGTGCCTCAGGTTCCTCCCAAGCCTAGCTAACTTTTTTTTTTTTAAAGATTGGCACCTGAGCTAACAACTGTTGCCAATCTTTTTTCTTTTTGCTGCTTTTTTTCTCCCCAAATCCCCCCAGCACATAGTTGTATATTTTAGCTGTGGGTCCTTCCAGTTGTGGCATGTGGGACGCCGCCTCAACATGGCCTAATGAGCGGTGCCATGTCTGCGCCCAGGATCCAAACCCTGGGCCACCGAAGCACGTGAACTTAACCACTCAGCCATGGGGCCGGCCCCCCACACAGCTTTTGAGGACTGAAGAAAACCTCCATCCACCAACTTGTTAAGATGATACCACAAACGTGAGCCCCCAGGCCTGAGGAGCAACCCAAGCTGGATCAGGCCTCTTCTCTAGAGCCTCCCCCATACCCCAACCCAGGTCATTCCCACAATGAGAATGGATTTGAAAAGAGAAGGAAAGTCCCAAGCAATCACCTGGGCATTTTTCAGGGACGTTTTCTTCTTTTTCTCATTTTGCTGCTTCATCTCACATGCAGGGTAATTTTGTTTGCTTTCCTTCTTAGAAAGCTGTCTTTATTTTTATTTTTTTTTTTGCGGAAGATTGGCCCTGAGCTAAGATCCGTACCCATCTTCCCCTATTTTTCATAAGTGGGATGCCTGCCACAGCATGACTTGATAAGTGGTGCACAGGTCCGCACCCGGGATCCGAGCCAGCGAACCCTCGGCCACCAAGGTGGAATGTGCAAACTTAATGCTGCGCCACCAGGCCGGCCCCTTGTTTTCCTTTTTAAATCCTCGTTAAGTAGTCTCTTACTCTCCTGTTTTCCCTTCCAGTGTCAGGGGACATAAGGTTTATTCTATACACTGATAATAAGCAAACAAGTTTCTAAGACAATTGTCACTACACAAAGACTGCTTCCAGTCCTTCAACATTTTTAAAATGTTAGTGTAATCCTCATACCAATAGATCAATTAAGAAATAAGCTCAGGGGCCGGCCCAGTGGCGCAGTGGTTAACTGTGCACGTTCTGCTTTGGCGGCCCAGGGTTCGCCGGTTCAGATCCCGGGTGGGGACATGGCACCGCTTGGCAAGCCATGCTGTGGTAGGTGTCCCACGTATAATGGAGAGGAAGATGGGCACTGATGTTAACTCAGGGCCAGTCTTCCTCAGCAAAGAGGAGGACTGGCAGCAGATGTTAGCTCAGGGCTACCTCAAAAAAAAAAAAGAAAATATATGGTATGTTAGACAGAGACAGGTGCCAGACAGTATAAGAAAACAAGGAGGAGGGTGATCAGGGAAGGAAAAGTATAAGCTCAAAAATTCAGCCTTGTAGAGCACACAGGGGTTCACCTGAGGGAGCTCTTTCACAGTGTTTCTGATATAAAAATACTGATGGTCCGAGTTGATAGTGTAGGGGAGGAGGACATTTCCTCTCCCCAAATGTGGGTTCGACTGGCTGGAGAACGAATTAAATTCACATGAGACAGAATAGCAAGAGAAAATTAAACAAAGCTTTATGAGGAACCATGGCCCGGGGCCTTTCTTCCCGAAGGAAGAAAGGGCACCAAAGAAGTGGGGTGCACAGAGTGGTTATATAGCCCCCAAACGGGTTGTTTCACATGTGATTGAAATGTCCCTCCCACAATAGTCACAAGATTGCCCTGTCGGCACAGTGCTTGATGGACACAGCAGGTAATGGTCTGCTATCTCGGTGGGCGTAGCAGAAGGCAAGTCTATGTCTGGAGCTGGGCGGTCACAGGTGAGCGCAGCAGCAATCGGTTCCTAGCCTAAGGAAAGATGCTTAATCCTTAAGGAATGCCAAAGTTGGGAGGGGGAGGGAAGTCAGTTACAGGAGGTTACCAGACTAGCACAATAAAATGCAGATTTTAAGTCCTTGCCTTTGGTATTGATTAAGAGTTTTTGGAGAGTAGGTCATGGCCTTTCTTCTTCCTGGTACAGAGAGGGAGGCACCTTTTACAGATAGAGATTTACCTTACAAATGTAAACGCGTCCTAACAAAGGGCAAGTTCCATTCCTCAGAGCCTCCTTCCCTGTCCCAGTTTATCAAAAGCAATCAGCCTCAAATAATCCTGATGCCAAAGAGACATATCTTGGCGTGGCCAATTCCAGGTCCCCACAATAGTTTGACATATGATTTTTGATTTTACGATGGTGAAAAGTGATACGCATTCAGTAGAAAACATACCTAGAACACTGAATTTTGATCTCTCCTGGGCTAGCGATAGGCAGTCCACTACTCTCTCCTGATGCCGGGTGAGCAGCAAGCTGCAGCCAGTCAGCCACGCTAAACAACAGATACTTACGACCATTCTGTACCCATCTGACCCTTCTGATTTTCCACTTTCAGGACAGTATTCAATAAACTACATGAGATATTCAACACTTGACTATAAATTCGGCTTTGTGTTGGATGATTCTGCCCAACTGTAGGCTAATGTAAGTGTTCTGAGCATGCATTAAGGTAGGCTAGGCTAAGCTATGATGTTTGGGAGGTTAGGTGTAGTAAATGGATTTTCGATGTATATTTTCAACTCACGATGGGTTTTTCAGGATGTAACCTCATTGTAAGTCGAGGAAGATCTGTACTGAAGATTGCAAGATAATGTAAGTTATGTCTGGTATACTTTTATGTATTTTTACTCTGAGGCAACTCTTTGACATCATGGAGTGCTTATGCGCTAATACTTCTTGGATACCAGGAACCACAGAAAACTAAATGGCATAGTTACTAAACATTTTTCATGTTTTGTCAGTATCCCTTATAAGTACATGCTGAAGTTTGTCTTCAAAACATTCCCATCTTTTCACAACAGTAAGGATTACTTTTTTAATCAAAATTTGTCTGCCTCTCTTTAGCATCAACATGTAAGAGCCTCATTTGTCAGTCCTTGATTATGCACACAGATATACACGTGTATAAACAACGGAAGTTCCCTGATATCCTCAATCAAAATATGGCTAGAAACACTTGCTGACATTTCCTTGCAAAGTAACTGACCTAGTATTAGTGAGTTTTCAGTTCTGAACGGCAAACAGCTTGAAACAGGATGGTGTTCTTTCCTGGCCCCACTTTTAACTAAGGAGGAGACCATTCTCTGATTTCTTAGGCCAAAGTAAGTGAGAAGCCAGTACAGTGGTTTTAGGTTAGAGCTGAACCTTGTGCTTAAAAACTGCATTTTAGGGTCAGCCGGAGGCCGAGCGGTTAAGTTAACACGTCCGGCTTTGGGGGCCCAGGGTTTCCCGGTTCCAGTCCTGGGAGTGGACATGGCACCGCTCATAGGGCCATGCTATGCTTGGGCGGCGTCCCACATGCCACACTAGAAGGACCCACAACTAAAAATACACAACTATGTACGGGGGAGGGGGGGAGGTTTGGGAGAAAAAGGAAAAATAAAATCTTTAAAAAAGAAACGCTGCATTTTATATACTACTCTTTCATTCTGAAGACAGACAATCGCTCTAATAAAGATTTTGCTATTTTTTCTGCACAAACATCACTTGAACATTTACAGCTTCAACTATTGTGTACTATGGGAAATAAACTGCAAACAAAATATTTTTCTTTTAATCATACTTGCAAAAACGTCTTGATGGTGTCATAATGCTAGCACTAATTTTAACCAATATATGAACAAATGCATTCCGCAAGCTGAAGATATAACTTTCAAAAGCAATACTAGGAATGTACTTAATACCACTGAATTACATATATACGTTAAAATGGTAAACTTTTATGTGTCATACGGTAAATGCTATGTATATATTCCCACAAAACTAAAAAAAGTTTTTTAAGAGCAATAGTATGATCCCATTTCGTAATAAAAACTTACACATGTATGCGAGCTTGCATACTTATACACAAACTGGAAAATGTCAGGAAGCCTCCAGGAGAACACACTTGCGGACTGCGGTTACTTTTACTTTCCTTACTCTCTCCGCGTCATCTAATGGGCCGTAATGAGCGCGCTTTGTTTGCATAATCGGGAGAAGCGATAACGCACAGAAATCCCTCCCTCCCCGCCCCGGGCGCCGAAGCTCCTCCAGCTGAGCCCTCAGCACGGCGGGGACCGGATCCCCGGCCAGACCACCGCCCCGGCCGCGGCCTCCAGCCCGGGCCCCACCGCCGCCCGCCGGCCACAGCCGAGCACCCCACCGCGCCCCGGGAACCCGCGGGCGCACAGCAGCCCCGCCGCCCCGCCCCGCCTGCGCCACCCGGCCGCTCACCGACTCCCGGGCCGCCCGAGACTCCGCCTGCCCGCCGCACCGCACGCCCCGCGCCCGGCTCCCGCTGGCCCGTCGCGCACGCGCGCCGCCGCCCCGGGCCTCGGCGGCCTCTCTAGGAAACTGGGAGGGCCACCGTCTCGGCTTCTCCCGGCCCAGGGTCGCGCTGGCTGGCCTCCGAGCCCAGCCGAGGGGCTCGTCCCCAAGCCCGCCGCCTGGCCTGTGGACGTCTGTCCTCCGTTCTCCGAGGCCCATTCGAGCCCCAGAGCTCTATCAGTCTTGGCGTTTTCCCACATCCCTGTTGATGTGTGTGCAGGGCTGCCCTCCCTCCAGGCAAGAAAAGGATCCAAAGCTCGGGGTCAAAATAGGGACCAGCAAGATCTAACTGACCGGTTCTGGTTGGCAGAGCTGTTAAAGGGCCACTCATTACTCCCTGGGGCCTCCTTCAAGTTGGGAAACCAGATCCTAAGGGAGGGCAGTTTTCCGGCTAACCTCTTCCCGGATCACCACCACAACCAGGGGGTACATGCTTATTCCCAGCCACAGCCACAGCAAACATTACCTTCCCACAGCCTCCAGCTGTTTTCTCTTATGGGTGAGTTCTAAGCAGGCTCACCCTAGTGGGTGATGAGATTGTCGCATATGGGGTACATGGGGTAACTATCCAAGTTACAAAACTGATTCAGCTTGAACTAAAGAAGCCTGATTTATAGCCTATCAAACATACATTGTACATCTGCTTTAGCCATTAAAGTAAAGAATGCACTCTCTTAAGAATGCATACTTCCCCTCCTAAGCTCAATCATTGCTGCGCATGTTAGTTCCTTTCCGAACATCAGGGTCTTATTGACCTGCTCATTTGCAACTGAATACCTCTTTGAAACTTTGATGAATGTGTACCCAGGGTATGTTTAGTGTATGTTCTTTGTTCTCAAAAAGGGGAAAGGGCTGGCCCGATAGCACAATGGTTAAGTTCACACCTTCCACTTTGGCGGCCTGGGGTTGGCTGGTTCAGATCCCAGGTGCAGGCATGGCACCACTTGGCAAGCCATGCTGTGGTAGGCGTCCCGCATATAAAGTGGAGGAAGATGGGCACAAATGTTAGCTGAGGGCCAGTCTTCCTCAGCAAAAAGAGGAAGAGTGGCAGCAGTTAACTCAGGGTTAATCTTCCACAAAAATAAAATAAAATAAAAATAAAAACGTAGAAGTGGGGCCGGCCTGGCAGCGTAGTGGTTAAGTTTGCGCTCCACTTTGGTGGCCCTGGGTTCCCAGGCCCGGATGCCGGGAGCTGACCTACATGCTGCTCAACAAGCCACACTGTAGCAGCGTACCACATAAAGAATGGAGGAAGATTGGCACAGATGTTAACTCAGGGCCAATCTTCCTCACCCACCCCCCTAAAAAAAATAAAAATAAAAATAAAAACAGCAAGAGTGAAGACTGTACTGAAAATCTTGCTTGTCTGCAATGCTTTCTTCCTTTGTGGAAACTGTCTTCCTGGATTATAATCCTCACCCTAGTTGAAATAAAACTCACCTTATCTCTCTCTCTAGAATGGTTCTTGGTTATTTTGCTTCCACGTGGGTGAACAATGGGGCTATTTGCCAATATGTGGAATCCTAAAGAAGAAGGTTTGGAGGTGGAGAGGCCATTTAAAGAACAGCTGAGGGGCCAGCCCAGTGGCAGAGCAGTTAAATTTGCACATTCTGCTTCAGCAACCAGGGTTCGCCAGTTTGGATCCTTGGTGTGGACCTACGCACTGCTTGGCAAGCCGTGCTGTGGCAGGCATCCCACATATAAAAATAGAGGAAGGTGGGCATGGATGTTAGCTCAGGGCCAGTCTTCCTCAGCAAAAAGAGGAGGATTGGCAGATGTTAGCTCAGGTATAATCTTCCTCAAAAAAAAAAAAAGAAGAAGAAAACAAGCTGAAGCAACATCAAGAGACTGCCCAGCCTCTGTAGGAGCAAATGTCTTCTATCTGATGAGGATTTTTAGGCTGCTTAATTTTAAAATGGTTTATGATGAGGATTTTTAGGCTGGTTACTTTTAAAACTGTAGATGAGAAGCAGGCTCCGAGGACTGGAATTTTGCTTGCTCTTTTGAGACATTTACGTTTGTGAAGGAAGGGGGGATGACCTTGTAGGGACCTGAAATTGGCCACCCCAGGATATGTCTCTTTGGCATCAGGATTGTTTTGGGCTGATTGCTTTTGATAAACTGGGACAGGGAAAGAGGCTCTGGGGAATGGAACTTGCCCTTGTTGGGACACATTTACATTTGTAAGGTAAATCTCTATCTGTAAAAGGTGCCTCCCTCTCTGTACCAGGAAGAAGAGGAGAGATGACCTTGTCCCTAGAAGCTCTTAATGGGGAAGGCAAGAACTTAAGTTGGTTGCTGTCTGGCAATCTCATGTAACTGATTTAGGGTGGTGGCATCTAACCTTTCTAACCTTTACTTAATCCGATTTGATTCTTGTCTAAAAGTCATGGGATCACCCAATGACCAGACCCCACCTGCACTGATACCATTTTAACTTTTTTCATGTTCTTTCCTTTGTCTTGTAAAGAGATGAATCATATACCTATGCCTTAAATTTAGCCCTAACCCTCAACTTGGGGCAGCAGCAGGAGCTCTGACTGCCCGTGGGTCCTGTCCCCACACACCAGCTCTGCCTGCCCATGGGCCTGTCCC